TCACCATCACCAATTCCTTGCCCCTCTCTGAGAGCTGCTTCTCATGGCCTTTTCATCTCTACTGAGTCTGAACGTCAGACACTAGATCCTTCTTCCAGACTTTATCTCCCTGAACTCAAACCAAGGCTTGGTTTTCAGCTGCCACTCAGCAGATCACCTGTCTCACCAAGTGCACCAAGAAGATTGGTGGAAACCACATCCCATGGTTCATGGGTGAGAAGTTTGGGGCTGCTTCAGTCCACAGACCATCACATCTTCTTGGAGGTTGAATTCCTTGCCTGAGTTGGACTGGATCTGTCCTGGTTTCCTGCCAAAGCTGTGAGCAGCAGCAGAGTGAAACCCTCATGTTGAATCATGAGCAGCTTGCGCTAAAGGGGATTAAGTTTGGTGCAAACTGTTCAGGGCTGTTTTTTGGATATTCAAGGAGTGTGTGTGGGTGTTCCACTTGTTTGTGGCTCTATGGTATCCTGGCAGTAGTAAGGAGATAAGGTTCCCTTCAGCTTCCATCCTACAGCTTCCTATTTTTAGCACATGACCATCACACTTTGACAAGCCCATCAGTTTTTAGATGATGGAATCAGAAAACCTGCTTTTTTTACCCCCTCCTTCAAATCAGAATCTGAACAGATATTGTCTTCTAAATGACTGTGCCAGCCCCCCCAGCCCCTACTCACAGAGCAGTGAGTGATGTGGGAAGTGAGCACTTAAAATATGAAAGAAACCAACAAATTCTTTTAGCAGATTCTTCCTCAAGTGCCTTTTGGATGCAGAGCTGGGTTGGGAGGTGGCTGCTGTGCCCTCCATGGACTCAGACCCTACAAGCCTTGCTGCCCATTTCCAAGCTCACTCTAACCAGTTTAATTGTGCTCCCAAAGCTGATGATGACAAAGGAGGACAAGGCATACCTAGGATATTGGGGTGCTGGAAGAGGCAGCCATATGCCAAGCAAGTCTCATCAGTTTTCTTGCCACGTTGCCCACATATGTTCCAGAACTGAACGTGTGTTTTTATGACTAACTTGACATTTATTTGCTGCAAATCCCCTTGCAGCTGAGGGCTGGCCCAGGGGTCAGTAAGGAACAGGAAAAAGGGAGGGCTGAGCCCAGGGTGACATCAAACCCAGTAACAGACCTTGGCCACCTAGCTGTGGACAGAGAGCTTGGGGTTGGGATCAAGAACCAAGATCAGTGTGACCCTCTCTCCACAAATGATGTTAAAACATCCTTTGGCTGTAACTCCAGGTAAAAAGAAGTAGAGAAATACATGATGTAGTCCAGAAGTCCATCAGGGAACCAAGGCAGCAGACACAGGCTTCAGGAGGTGGACAAAGAGAAACTGCTTCTTCCAGCCAGATGTTCAAAAGCAATAATAAGTGACTCTTATCATTGAGTCAGGTCTTTGTGACAAAGCATTTACTTGTGGACAAACTGTCTGATGTGGTGGAGAAATAGCACCTCTTTCCTGCAGCCACATTGACCAGAGAACAGGCCTGTCACAGCTTGTCCTGGAGACATCTCCTGTGGTTCTGAAGCAAGGAGCTGCTGAAGATCAGAGCTAAGCAGGTCTGAGCACCCCTTGGTAGTAGGAACTGGGGAGAGGAAAAGCCACCCAAAGCTGCCAGGTGACATGCCACCCCCAGAGCAGCCACCCTTTCCACTTGGTGAGAAATAATCTGCAGGTGAGGTTTGCAGGAGAAAGGCAGGAGAGGGGGGAACTAAAGCAGCTGCTGGGATGGGGAGGGAGCAGGAGGGCTCTGTGTGAGCCAAAATGGGAAGCTGCAATCACACTGGTTTCCATCTTGTGAGTCAAAGAGACCTTCCCAACCTGGATGTGGGAAGGTGTTTGTACCAGCCAGCACTTGCTTTAGAACAGAAAAACACAGAGGGGTGGGTTCATCCTCCTGCCATGCTCCTGCTTGATGCATTTCCTTGGGCTTAGAAACAAAATAGGTCAGAAAAGGACCTTTTATGGAAGATGTGGATCAATCCCATATGGTTCTGGAAGAGTCTGCCTGGCAGGGGATGTAAAGCAGGGTCCCTCCCTTCTGTTTGAGACTGAGGGAGAAAAGAGTAGATGCCAATTTGCTTTTATGGAAGGAGGTAGAAATCAAACAGACTCGTGTTTATCCTCTGCCAAGTATTGGTTTTATTCTAAGCCAATTAAAAATATGTCTAGGGGGGGCTTCTAAGGCTGGAGAAGTGTGTGGGACACGAAACAAAAGTCTCTGTGGGTTGCTGGCTTGCAAAGCCTGGGAGGAAGTTTCACAAAGTAGTAACTCATAAAAGCCCACTCTGTTTCTTCTGCTTCCACCCAGGGACTTGAAGCAGGTTTCTAATAGCAGGGATGCCTCGAATGCTCATCATCCTCAGCTTCCAGACTGGGGAACAGTCCTGTTGACTGGGAAGCACCCAAGCCCTGGCAGCAAACCAGCAGCAGATGGGGGACAGAAGCCAGGTAGCCAGAGCCCTTCACTTCCCCAGCTAGCAGAGCTGAAGTGGGGATGCTGAGATGTACAGAGCTGGGCAGCCAGAGCCTGCAACTTGCCTGCTCACCTGAAACCCAAATCAGCCACTGGTGAGAAACTGGTTTTAATGTCCTAGTAGCAAGCCCTCTCCGTGATATAGCTTAAAAATACCCACAGAGCCACCTGCTTTCCCAAGAGCTATGTAGCAGAGACACAGTCCCTGTTGGTGACAGCTGCTTCTCTCAAGAACAAGCCCAGTTTGTGCCAGGAGGGAAGTGCCACCGCTTCCTGAGGAGCAGCGCTGATTCAGACAGGAATCAGCCCCTTCTCATCTGTGGGAGATGCTGTGTGTGGCTGCTCCAGAAGCTTGAATCCAGTGACAGGACTCTGGTCCTGCTGCCAGGCTCTGAAAGCTGCAGCTACAGCTCTGCCAGGTCTCCTGACACTGCTTTGGGAGCCCCAGTGCAACGGATGCTGCTTTGACAGTGGTTTTGGCTGAGCACCTCTGCCCCACACAAAGAGCTCTAATCTGCTCCTTTTCCTGCTGCCTGCTCCCTGCTGTCCCTACTGTGTGAAGAGGCTGGGCAGGGGAAGTTGGTTTCCCCCAGGAGGTGGCTGGAGGAATGCTGGCAGTGAGTGTGGCCAGCTGGGAGAGCCTCACCATCTGCTGCATCCTCCTCTCGTGCCATGTCTTCCTCTCCTCTAGCCTCACTGCCTGCTGCCTGCTCTGATTTCTTGGCTTGAGGGGACAAAAGACTCCTGCTGCCCTTCTCTTCCAGTTGACACTCCTTGGTTTTGATACCCACAGCTTTTAGGATCATGTCCATTTGCTTCATGTAGTCCAGGTGGCCGTTCACCTGCAAGCAACAAGAGTCCCGTTAGTGGGGATGCTGCAGGGAACCCGGCTCAGGCAGGTCCTTCACCTCCAAAGCCACCCATGGGACCTGAAAGGATGAAAGAAGGAGCTCTGAAAACTGCAACTGTCCACTGAACCACCTGAACTGGCTGCACCCTTGGTGGCACACGCTGCTGCAGGGTTGCTTTTCCTCTGACACGTGTGGATTTAAATTACTTGGCCACTGGTGAATTACAAACCCCCAGGTACTGCGTGTTACGACGTGACCTGCCATGCTGAGAGACACCCAGGTAGGAGACAACTTGTCATAGTTCAACTCCCTGTTCTCTGCTAAATCACGTGTCCTCCCTGTGCCTTAGCTCCCTTGTAAAAGCAAATATTATCTTATTTAAATGAAGATACAGTCATTACATCTCACAACAGCTCCCAGGCATGTCAAGGCTCTTGGCTGGAAGCTGCACTGACCATATAAAACTGAGAGGCTGAGAGTTATGGGTTCATAAACCAAATTAAAGTCAACAGTACATGCAAACCCCTTCCCATTATGATTGTAAAGTGATTTCCATGATGAGATAAACCCTTCTGAGATGGATGTTGGAAGGCAGCCTTCCAGCCAGGGCACAGGAGGGAGAGAAAAGCTTCCTCTGCAGGTTATTGTCATACATGTAATTCTGCCTGGCTGGAAGGGCAGAAACTGCCTTCTGAATATCAGGTGTCCTGTGCAAGCTGAGTGTTTGAAGTCAGGACAGCCAGGATCCTCCTGGGGAGCAGCCTCCAGCTCTGCTTTGCTGCTGTGCTCACAGCCAGAGTGGGGGAAGCACCATGGAGCAGGGACTCACAAGGGGGATGGACAGTAGGATTTCCTGTGGAGAGGGAAGTTCCAAGGGGCTGAGGTGAGGCTGTTGCCTGTAGAGTGTATTGGTGGGATTTGCCTCCTAAGATGTTTTAGCCTATCACAGACTGGTTTGGGTTGGAAGGGACCTGAAATACCATCTAGTTCCAACCCCCTGCCATGGTCAGGGACCCCTCCCACCACCCCAGGTTGCTCCAAGCCCCATCCAACCTGACCTTCAACACTGCCGGGGATGGGGCAGCCACAGCTTCCCTGGGCAACCTGGGCCAGGGTCTCACCACTCTCACAGCAAAGAATTTCCTCCTCATGTTTCACTAAATCTCCTCCTCCAGTTTTAATCCATTCCCCCTCATCCCATCCCTCCCTGCCCTTGTCCAAAAGTCCCTCCCCAGCTTTCCTGGAGCCCCTTCAGGCACTGGAAGGTGCTCCAAGGTCTCCCTGGAGCCTTCTCTTCTCCAGACACTGGAACACCCCAACTCTCCCAGCCTGTCTCCAGAGCAGAGCTGCTCCCGTGGCCTCCTCTGGACTTTCTCCAGGAGCTCCATGTCCTTCTTATACTGGGGACTCCAGAACTGGACACAGTTCTCCAGGTGGGATCTAATGAGAGCTGAGTAAAGGGGGAGGATCACCTCCCTTGGCCTGCTGCCATCTTTGCTAAATTCCATTTCCAACAGTTTAAATCCTTCCTGCCCCAGCCAGAAGGTTGTCTTGGACAACACTGCCACTTACTGTCCAAAATCCTATTTGTAATTAGGGAATTTCCAGTGCAGGGAATACCCAACAGCATGGTCCCAGGTTTCCTGCTTCCAAGCTCCATGCGCTAGTGTCCCAGGAAGGAACTCTCTGCTCATACCAGAGCAAAGCTCTTCCTTTTGAGTGGCAACATTTGGATACACTTAGGACTTGGAACAAAATGGATTTAAACAACATATTAGGAAGGCAATAGGCAACTTCCATCAGTCCAGATGACTCGACAGGCTCTTGATGTTTTGAACAGATTAGTTAATTAAAATAACCATAGAGGGACTAATGGACTGGCTATTCAGATGTGGATGTTGTTCTCTGAAAAAGGATGGACCTCAGTGCACAGTCAGGGGGTTGGTGCTAAGGAAAGACAGAAGTTGGACAAGGGGGAGAGAAACAAGAAGGAAATGGATGTACTGGGAGGAGCTGTGAAGCCTCTTGGCTTGATGAAACCTCTGCAGTCATCACAACCCTCCTGCCCTGGTCAGTGCTGGGGGATTTCTCAGCCTCTTACATTTTCTGGTCATTAGTCAGAGAGAACAAATTTCCTCTGCCACCCTAAGGACTAAATTTTCATAACTCCTCAGTATCCAGCAGCTTCCACCAAAACAATGGGGAATTCCTCTTCCTTGAGCACCACAATCACCAAGAGACTCTGGGTATGAGCAGTTCTGAAAAGCTGAGCCTTCCCCTGATGGCACTAAAAGAAGAGCTGAGACCTCCTGAAAGTCCATCCCTCACTGCAGGTCTGCTAATACCACTGAATCTCTTCAAAAGGACAGCCCAGGAGAGGATTCCAGACCAAGAGAAGCCCTGACAAGGTAGGACTCTTTCTGTGCTGTAACATCAAGTACTGAACCACCAGCCAAGGACCAGCCAACAAACTGCCTCGCCACTTCAAAGCTGTGAAGCCATCCTTCTGGGGGGGGAATTAAAAAAATTTCACCTCTCAAAAACCTGCTTGCATCTGGATTCTGAAAAGCTGGATTCCTCTGCTGGGTAGGTGGTGCTGGAGAAGGGATGGGAACATCTAAAACCTTGTAAGGGACAATAAACATGTTAAAGGGAAATAAACAATTGTTTGAATATTTGTCAGAACAAAGTGGAGGAGGAACTTTCAAAATAAATGGAATAGAAAAATGGTCTTGTAACCAAACCAAATGATACTGATACTTATTATAAGGGAGTAAATGCAATGGGGTTGGTTTATCTTTGTGCTTAGGTGACTTCTCCCCCCTTGTAGCTGATTTTGTGGTTGTTTTGACTCATTGGAAAACACAAGCCAGCTCCTGGATCAGGGGAAGATCTCCAGAGGACTGCAGGTGATGACATTGCTCAGGTGGATCCATCACTCAGCTGGAAGGAACTGTCAGTTCCAAAAGTTTGGGAAGATTTTCAAGTTCAAATCCATCCAAAAAAGCATAAAAAATGTCACAGAGCATCATCATCAGCTATGTCTGCTGGATTCAGGTGGCAGTTGTTTTATTTGGTACAAGAAGTGCCTCTGGTTAAGGTGCCAGGAAAACACAGTTCAGTTTATGGGAGCTTGGAGAACAAAAATAATTCCTCCCTGGTCCTGCAGCCAGCCCACTGTGAGCTCTGCAGCACAGATGCTGCTCTCCCTAGAAATGACAGAAGCTCTGGGTGGAGAGAGACAAGGACCAGCATATTGGAGAAGACATGATCATGGGAATCAACCAGCAGCTCCCTCCGTGAGCAGTAAGTTGGGACAATTTCCAGGGCTCCACACAGTTGGCTTCCCTCAGTGTTGTGAAATAACAAAGTAGCAGCACAGGATCCATCTGTGAAGATCAGCTTTTTAGGAGAGAGGAACAACCCTGACCTCTTTTAGGGTTTGAGCTACAGGAATCTTAGGTGTAACCCAGAGCCCAGAGGGGATGCTTGGGGTGCTGCCAAGAGGTGGGATGCAGAAAGGACCTGGGAGAAGGGAGATCCTATGTACAATCCTGGCTCTGCCACAGACCCACACGAGTACTGGCAAGACTCTGTCACAACCCTGGGTATCACCATGATATTGCTCTGCTCGACATGGCAGAAGGCAGCTTTGCTCACACCAGAGCCGACTGTTATATAAGGTCCTGCCAAGTTTCCCTCAAGAAGAGCACTGATCCCAAGTGGCCAGTGCAAGAATCACACTGTGGCTCCAGAGCCTGGCACAGCTCACAGATGTTTGCTCTGCAGGGCTGGGGAGCTTGTGAGAGCACAGCTGGGAGTCCTGGCCTCTTGGCTACCTGCAGGGAGAAAGAAAGGACAGAGCAGCTGGGCTCTGCCTTCCTCCTGCTCTCTTTGACCAAACATCCTATGGACTGAAGGAGAATTCCAGAGGAGCAGGGAGCCATGCAGCACGAGCAGAGGATGTGCAAAACTCTGCAAGTTACAGGAGCTCAGGTCATTAAAACACCTCAGAATTTCACCTCTTGGATTTGTTTTGAAGCCCATCATGTCCAAAGAACAACTTTACCATGCAAGAAAAAAAACACCTTCAAATGCCTCTCCAGAGCTTCTTTATTTCACCAGGAGCTGTAATGTCTGCCTTGGGGGGCAACAGTTTCAGCACCCCTTTTGGACAAAATGCTGTTTGTTTTCATAGAAACCAGTATTTTGTGCAGGGTGAAAAGGGTTAAGAGAGTGAGGTGCAGTTTCTGCAGCTCAGATAATGATCACATCTTCCTTCCCCGCAGCCCCTTCCTCCCCCTGGTGTGTCAGACACTCTGTGTACACACACACAGTGAAACCAAATCGCCTCCGGGTGGCAGAGCTCAGCAGAGCCAGCTCAGCAGCTTTGCTTATTGTCACTTCCCCTCTCCCTTTCCAACTGGTGGCAGGGAATTTGGCATCCAGGAAGAGAACCTGAGCGCAGCCCTGTGCTGGGAAATGAAACCCCAGCCAGTCTGGGGGGAGAATTGGAAAAGAAGGGGAGAAACTCAAATGCCACCATTGCTTTCCAAAAAACCCCATACAATGCCTTGGGCTGGAAGGGACGGGACTTCTAAAGATCATCTAGTCCAACCCCCCTACAAAAAGCAGGGGCATCTCCAATGAGACCAGATTGCTCTGAGCCCCATCCAGCCTGACCTTCAATGTCTCCAGGGATGGGGCCTCCACCACCTCTCTAGGCAACCTGTTCCAGTGACCCACCACCCTCATATTAAATCACTTTTTCCTAATGTCCAACCTAAATCTACCCTATTCTAGCTTAAAACTATCACCCCTTGTCCTGTCATTACATGCCCTGCTAAACAGCTCTTTCCCAGCCTTCTTATAGGGCCCTTTTAGGCACTGGGAGGTGCTCTAAAAGGAGTCTTCTCTTCTCCAGGCTGAATAACCCCAACTCCCTACAGCCCTTCGATCATTTTGGTTGCCCTCCTCTGGACATGCTCCAA